GAAACACCTTTAAAACATATTTCAGTGCAGTGGTATGGAGGAATCTGTATGGATAAATACATAGATAAGTAAATATTGTGCATATATGGTGTCCAAAAAGTATGGGAGCGGTTGAATTTCAGTCAAATTTTACACTCGTGTCTTTTTAATTATTAATAAATTAAAACAACTAAAAGAAAGTGTTTTTAAAGTTCGTAGTATTAGCTCCCTTTTCCCCGAAAATTGTATTTATTTGCGTGCTAAAATATCATATATTTTTAGGTTGATTAAATTGGTGCCCGTTACTACTAATTTGTTCTATTACGTCCCTGGGAATCCCGTCTTAATACCAGTCCTAAAACAACCTGTCACCGCTACAACCACGAAGGAAAAATACCAAAACCCATTCAACTACGATTATTTGGTAACAAACAAAGTAGACTTGCCCGAACTAATAAATACAGTAAAAGCTAAAGAAGCCGAAAAAGCCAAATGGATCGAATCGCAACAAGTGTGGCCTTACAAATGCAAATTGTGCGGCAAACGATTCCCGAAAGAGGATGTACTGCAGCATTACGAGCTACACAAGAAAATCTCCGATCAATCAAGTGAAGTCAGCAACGAAGCAGACGTGATGTTTAAGTGCCCAGTTTGCACTAGAGAATTCAGGTACCGCTCTGGCTACGACAATCACGTGAAGAATATGCACCAAACGAAAGATTTCGCTTGCAAGATCTGCAAGGAGAGCTTTCAGGATGAGTACCAATTGAACTTGCACATCGCCAAGCACAGCGCTAACCCCAGTTTATTCACATGCATCAAATGCAAGCGGTTCTCCACTAAGGACCAGTCGCAATTGATAGCTCACTTCAACAACGTTCATTACTCGGATACCAGCCAGCAATTCCACTGCGAAGAGTGCGATCGATATTTCATATCGCGAGGTTGGTACGACAGCCACAAGATATTCCACTTGAAGGACAACAACAAGCTGTTCTGCGATTTTTGCAAGATATTCCTGGTCGATTCGCTGGATTACAACACTCATATGACGATCGTGCATAACATTGAATTGACGAAGGTTTTTAAATGCGAGAAATGCGATTTTACGTTACCGAATTACAAAAGTCTCGAGTTCCATAACCAGAAAATCCACCGGGAAATCTCTCTGCTCTGCAATGTATGCGGTAAGGCTTTCTCGCAAAGGAGCTCCTTGTCTGCGCACTTGAAGATCCACGAGGATGGGAATTATGTGTGTCAAGTGTGCGGTAAAAGGTTCAAGAATAGTCATGGATTGAAGGTTCACACGCTCATCCATACGGGGGAAAAGCCGCATAAATGCGACTTGTGTTCGAAGAGTTTCTCCCAGAGATCCACGCTGATTATTCATTTGAGAACCCACACGGGGGAGAGGCCTTATTCGTGTGATAAGTGCAAGAAAGGATTCATTACCAAAACCATTCGGAATTCGCATCAGAAGTCTTGTAGAAAATCGGTTTAGTTTTATATTTCATTGTGTGTTTGAATATAAAAAATTAATTTTCTACAGGTTTTTTTTATTTATACAACATATTTCAGTGCAGTGGTCTGAAGGAATTTGTATTGAATACTACAGGTAAGCAAGTATTGTGCATAAAGGTGCATGTAGGGTAACCAAAAAGTATGGAAACGGTTGAATTTCGGTCAAATTTTAGACTAGTTTCTTTTTTATTTTTACATTCGAGCTTTAAATTTAACTAAAATTCGACCGTTTCCATACTTTTTGGACACCCGGAGTATTTCTATTGCTTACTAGTTAAAGATTCTAAACGCTAAATAAATCTTAACAATAACTACAAGAAAGTCATCATTTTAATGTTCTTAATATTAACTCCCTTTTCTCCGTAAATTGTAGTTATTTGTGCGCTAAAATATCGTATATTTTTAGGTTGATTAAATTGGTGCCCGTTAAAAATGTATTCTATTACATCCCGGGGAATCCAGTTTTAATGCCCGTAATGAACCGACCTGTGACCGCTACATCCACGAAAGAAAACAAATATCGAAACCCCTTCGACTACGACTACGTGATAACAAACAAAGTAGACTTACCCGAACTAAGAAATACTGTAAAAGCTAGAGAAGCTGCGACAGCCGAACGCATCAGATCGAAACGAGTGGATCAATACAAATGCAAATTGTGCGGAAAACGATTCCCGAAGGAGGACTTACTGCAGCATTACGAGCTGCACAAGAAAATCGCCGATCAATCGAGCGAAATCAGCAACGAAGCGGACGTGATGTTCAAGTGCCCCGTTTGCCCTCGCGAATTCACGTCCCGCTCTGGGTACGACTGCCACGTGAAGAGTATGCACCAAACGAAAGATTTCGCTTGCAAGACCTGCAAGGAGTGCTTCCAGGATGAGTACCAGCTGAACTTGCACGTGGCCAAACACAGCGGGAACCCCAGTTTGTTCACCTGCATCAAATGCAAGCAGTTTTCCACTAAGGACCAGTCGCAATTGATATCGCACATCAACAACGTTCATTACTCGAACATCAGCCAGCAATTCTACTGCAAAGAGTGCGATCGATATTTTAAATCGCGAGGTTGGTTCGACAGCCACAAGATATTCCACTTGAAGAACAACAGCAAGCTCTTCTGCGATTTTTGCAAGATATTCCTGCTCGATTCGATGGATTTCAACTCTCATATGACGACCGTGCATAACATTGAATTGACGAAGGTTTTTAAATGCGAGAAATGCGATTTGACGTTTCCGAACTACAAAAGTCTCCAGTTGCACAACAAGAAAATCCACCAGCCCTGCACTTCTCTGCTCTGCAATGTGTGCGGTAAGGCTTTCGCAAAAGCGTGCAACATGATTTCGCACATGAAGATCCACGAGGAAAGGAAGTTCATATGTCAAACGTGCGGTAAAAGGTTCGCGACATCTCGAGGATTGGCTGTACACACGCTCATCCATACGGGGGAAAAGCCGCACAAGTGCGACGTTTGCTCGAAGAGTTTCTCCCAGAGATCCACGCTGATTATTCATTTGAGAACCCACACGGGGGAGAGGCCTTATCCGTGCGATAAGTGCAAGAAAGGATTCATTACCAAAACCATTCGCGACGCCCATCAGAGAACTTGTCGATAGTTTTAAGAAGTCGTATTAAAGCCTTGGAATATTTGACAATACCTACTCATTTTTATACATGACTGATATTTTTGAAAATACATTATTGAGCAAAATTTGGATGAGTTTTAATTGCATTTAATGAGTGATTTATCTAGTTTAAGTACAATTAAACGCAAGAGTATTAAGACCACAACTGAAGGAAGAGTTTTCTGATGAAATTACCGAATATTTATGTAACCTGTAAAACTTATTCGAATTAAATAAATAATGCGATTAATACAAATAATTATATACGATGTCTATTTCGAAACGTTTTATTTATGTATATTAACGCTTCTTGTACTTATTTTTAGGTTGATTAGACTGGTACCGCTAAGTAAAATGCTAGTATACTACCCCGCGCCGAAACCTACCCCGAAACTGGAAAATATATACCAAAATCCGTTCAATTACAGCTCGATAGAAGTCAATCTGAAAGCGGCCCTAAACGATCAACGAAAGGAAATCATGGAGAAAACGTTGAAAGACGTAGCGGTATCGTTCAAATGCAAAATCTGCTCCGCCGAATTTCCGAACAAAAAAACCCTGATAGAACATTACGAATTACACAAAAAACTCGCCGAGCTCACCGACGAGACCATCACGGATCGACCGATATGCGAATGCGGCCTCGACAATCCCGACAATCGACACAAAATCAAAGAGTTCATATGCTTCGAATGCAAGGAGCAATTCCCCAACAAGTACTACTATCGCTTCCACATGGCCAAACACGCCAAAACCTCACCACCGTTCGTCTGCTGCTCGTGCAAAGACTTCTCCACCGCCGTACGATCCGAATTAATCCAGCACTTGGTGGATACCCACAACCCCGACGGCACCTCGCAATTCTACTGCAACGATTGCGAAAAGTGCTTCATATCCCAACCCTGCTTCGAACACCACAAGATCTACCACGCGAAATACAAAAACCTCTTCTGCGACCTATGCAAAACCTTCCTCCCCACGACCACCATATTCAAAAACCACGTCGAAAATGCCCACAAAATCACACCCAGCCCGTGTCTCAAGTGCGACAAATGCGACATCGCCTTCCCGAAGATCGAGTACCTCGAAGCGCACACGAAGCAGCTGCACGACATGCCGAAGCACCTGTGCAACGTCTGCGGCAAGGTGTTCTTCAGGCGCACGCTGCTCACCACGCACATGGAGATCCACGGCGAGGCGAAGCAGGTGTGCACGGTGTGCGGCAAGCGGTTCGTCAAGGCGCAGCACCTGCAGCTGCACATGCGCGTCCACACCGGCGAGAAGCCCAACAAATGTCCGTTGTGCGAGAAGAGGTTCTCGCAGAGGTCCTCGCTGATCGTGCATATTAGGACTCATACCGGTGAGAGGCCTTATCCGTGCGGGAAGTGCCAGAAGGGGTTCATTACGAAGAGCACCAGGGACCATCATCAGAAGTCTTGTAAGAAGATGTTGTAGGACGATGATGGTGTTCGTTTTAGTTTGTCAGTAAGATTGTTTTTTGTATGTAAGAATATAGTAGAATGTAGTAGTAAAGAATTTAATTACTTGTTGTTGTTGTTGTTTTTTATGCGGGCGGTCTTTCCAGCCCCGTGACCACCTAGATCTAATGATCCTCTGTAGTTTCCCGCTGTTTCCCAAGGTCACTGATTCTGCCAGAAGTCGCAAGTATTTGCAAACCTCAGCAGTTCGGATGCCCTTGTGTTTTTGAGATCGCTAGGATCTAATGAGGTCCTTCACCAGGTATTATACCTGCGCAAGGATAATGCTGGACAGTGACACAGAAAATTTAATTACTTAAATGATGATAATTATTTTGTGTATGTAATCGATGGAACACTCTGTGTATAATATGAGTTTATGAGTTAACGTCACAATTCGGTTTGGAGAGTTTCGGTGAAATTTCAATGCCAAATGTCCGATGACAACAACAACACATTTTTAGACAAAGATATAATTTTTTTCTGTTTTCGAAAAATTTCCCAAACAATTTGAAACCAGCCAAATATGCGGATTCTTTTGGAAAATGGGTAGTTTATGGCAGGATTACGTTCCCACGGAGGTGGTGTCCGAAGTGCTGAAGCATCTACCGAGACAGGACCGGCTCGCCTGCGCGATGGTGTGCCAAAAATGGAAGGAGGCCCTAAACCGTCGGTACTTGTGGACGCACATCGTGCTATGCGTGGACAAGGATTTCCTGGAGCCCAGCAGCACGCTGTTGGTGGGCGAGTACCACAGGCACATCAAATCGTTCGCCATCGGATGGGACAGACCGTTGGTTCAGAACCGTTGGTTGCCCCTCAAGGTGCACGATTTGACCAAGCGCGTCGTTCATTTTCTCTTTATTCTCTGCGACAATTGCGTACAATTGACTCATTTCAAGATATTCGAATGGTACGACATTTACGCCTTTAAGAAAATCATCTACCACCTTAGCCGTTTTTTAAAGTAAGCTTTATCTAAAACTCACCATATTCTTCTATACTTTGTTGCGATATTGCAGAATGCAATCGAAACTGGAGAGCCTCGTGTTGCGCAACGTGAATCTGCCCAAAAAGGAATGCCTGAAGATCCTGAACGCTTGCCTGGGTTCCAAGAATTCGGTGACCAATCTGGAAATACACAACAATTACTACAATTTCAACACAGCCTTCGATACGGTCGATTTCGTCAATTTTCTGAAAGAATTCATCGTACTCAACGACATCAAAATCGACTATTTCATACTGTCGAGACCCAGAGTCATCGACGTGATATCCGAAAACGGGAATCACCTCAAGGCTTTGGAGATATTCTTCAACGAAACGGACCTCCACAGCGTCGTCATACCGGCCAGGAAGTGGAACAAGTTGAAGAAATGCTGTCCCGACATCAATATATCTATTAAAATCAGTAAGTATGGTAGAGATCGTTGTCTAGGTACTATCTCGCGCTGTTAAAGGGAACATCTGCCATCACGAGCAAATCGAATTTATCTTCCTCATGGACAACATACCGTTGAATTCGTTCACGATGATATCGAGCAATAAATACAACCAGAGAATCAGCAGAAATTTCGAGAGTACTTTAAGACGATTGATCAACAACTATCACAAAACCTTGGGTGTGTTTCCATTACTTTTCTGTCGAGTTTTTTTATTGACGGGATTCCTATGTTTCTTCAGAAACTGTGAAATTAGATATCAGAAACAACCAAGAAAATCTCGATGAAGTACTGTTAGCCATCATCCTGCAGTGTCCAAAGTTGAAATCGCTCTTCTTCGACGGGATGATCAAGGATAACATGAATCTTTTCTATGCTATAACTCAATACAAAAAAAGTGCTAAGGGTAAGTACAGTTAATTGATCAACATAATAACCGAGATGATATAAATGAATGTTTGGTTTAAAACAGTATTTTTTTCATAGGAATTCGCATGAAATTATTGCCCAGCAAATACAAATCAACAAAAAACATTGTTCACATGTTTTCCTAAAGATTACCTGCTAAATCCTTCAATATGTTTTGCACATAAACCCCATTATATGGATCTAAATAAAAGTGATTGGGTTATTGGAATTGCATTATGTTTTTTACATAGACAAAATAAAAGAGACTGTTTAAAGCATTGGAAATATCGGACTACACGATTCTTTTTGAAGACCCCGTGAGAGGCGCTTCTATCGAAAAATGAAATATATTTCAATTTTTTTTGATTGGACAATTTCACATAAATGCTCGAACGCAAACGATAGCGATGTTAGGTTTGTTTCATTCGGTAGTCTTCCTTGCCGTTCTTGTCGAGTTGTGTTATGCCGGTTTCGTGAGTAGTGTAGGCGCCATAGACCTATTCAGTTTAACCTGTGCTGCGCGCGCACACTCTGGGCAATTAACTTGACATCTAAACGAACAAACGAACGCACCTCAGGTACAATACGGTTCTGACCATAGAGAAAGAAAGATGTCTTTTATTTTGTCTATGGTTCTGACAACCAGACAACGACAACTTAAGACATACTTCAGACGTCATTTGTCATTATCCAATAATCCGTTTCTCTATGGAAATGACATTGTACATTGTCAAAAAAATAAAAACATAACCTCAAAAACTACAATAAAACAAACCGAACTTTTACCAATTCTTCTTCATCAAAAACACCAATCAACGTTTAATCGACAATGCGATGGATTTAGCCACGAATTCCCCGTCAGCAATAAACAACTTCGCCGTATCGATAAACAATCAGCACACCGAGATAGTGTTAGTGAACTTTCCGAATTGCGTTAACTTGATAATCACGCAGTTCGGCAAAATAGGAAATCTGTACCAAGTGAAAATCGATCAAACGGAGAACGGTCTGGCCGTACCTGAAACAGTTTACGACGTTTCCACTGTACTGGGGGCTGAAAACATCCAAGCCGAAGTAGCCGTGAGGTACCTGAGCGAGAAACTCGACATCAAGAAGCCTTTGTTGGTGAGCCTGTGCCTGAAGGACTACAGCAAGGACTGTTTAAACGCTATTATCAAGAGCATCGAGCATGGCGCTTCAAAAAGTCGTTAGGAAATCGGAGAGTTACTTCGGGCAGGTGGTCATCGGTCCTCCGGGTTCCGGTAAAACCACCTACTGCGCGAAATTGTACGAATTCTACAAAGAAAAGCTGAACAGAACCGTCGAAATAATCAACCTAGATCCGGCCAACGATAACATGAGGTACAAACCGAAGATAGACGTGATGGAATTGGTGACGGTGGAGGACGTAATGAAGGAATTGAACTTGGGCCCCAACGGAGCGCTGATGTACTGCATGGAGTACCTTCTAGAAAACTTCGATTGGCTGCTTGATAGGCTCGCCAAAATCAAAGATTGCTATTTGATATTCGATATGCCCGGACAGGTAGAGCTCTACACGCATCATACGAGCATCAGAAACCTGTTTGGGAAGCTCGAGAAGCTAAATTATCATTTGTGCGCGGTGCATTTGGTCGATTCGCATTACTGCTCCGATCCCCCCAAGTTCATCTCCACGTTACTGCTTTCGTTGTCTACGATGCTGCAAATCGGCTTGCCTCACGTAAACGTTCTCAGTAAAGTAATTATACTTTCGTACTCTAAATTTATACTCTTTTAATAATTCGTTATTTGCAGGCCGATTTGCTGAAAAAGAACGAGGTTAAGTTGGATTTCGGGCTCGATTTTTACACGGACGTTTTGGATTTGGATTACTTACTGGAGCTCCTCGATGACGGGCCGTTCACTAAGAAATTCAGGAAGCTAAACGCTGCATTGGTGGGGCTGATACAGGGTTATAGTTTATTGGGGTTCGTTTTGCTCGATTCGAGTTCCGATAAGAGTTTGTTGGAAGTTAAAAACGCTGTGGATAAGGTGATTATTTTTGCGAAAATATACCTAGTATACCTTATAATTGTTTAAAATAATATTATTTTCTGTAGGCAAATGGGTACATCTATGGAAGCGGTGAGGAAAGGAGCATTCAAACTCTTCTATCTTGCGCTGTGGGGGCTCGAACGGAATCCGAAAGGTTCGATTCGGATTACATGTAGCATCGAAATATAAAAAATTTTGTTCTATTTTAAGTTTTATTTTAATGCGAACTTAAATGATTAAAGTAAGAATAAATTTAATGAGTTTCATTTCGGAGGATTGGCCTTTTGCTTTTCGAGTTGTGCCCTAAAAACAATGCGTAATTAATTCGCAATAATAACAAGTTGTGGGTATAATACCTTAATTGTTTGTTGAAATCGTCTTCGACGTTATCGTCCTCCCAATTATCCTCCCAAACGCTGATATCCTGATCATCCTTTTCTTTTCCGCACCAATCTAGTAACGGATGAATAATGCAAAATCACTTAATAACAACATAACCTCAAAATTACCTTCGACTGGAAATTCCTCGAACTCGTCGTCCTCCTCCAAAACTCCGAGATCCAGTTTCGGTTTTTCGCTCATTTTTCCAATCGAAAAATCCTCTAAAATTGCTCGAAACTTAACGCCAATTTTACCAAAACGGATGAATTTTAGTTTTTATTATGACACTAACGACAAATGACAGAAGGTGATTGATCGAATTTCGGCCTTGTACGTATGCATCTTACAGCGCACGATTCTAACTTCACGCTTAACTGTCAACGTCAAAAATTCGAACAGGAAAAATGAGTCTAACCGACTACGAAAGCGAATTGGTCGTCGAATGGCTGAACAAAATGCTGAAATGCGAAGGCAAATACCTCGAACCCATACTCGACCTCCAATCCACCGTTCTCATGAAGGACGTCTGCTCGATGCTGAAGCAAGACGTCCACGTCTTCACCTTCTCCGTGGACACCCTCGAGGACTACATCTCTAAGAAATCCGCCCTCTCGCAGGAGATCCCCGACCCCGTCCTCGCCTTGGTCTGCACCATCTTCGTATGCAGCAAGTACATCGGCGAGCAGGACATCAAAATCAAACACCTCACCATCGTCCTCAAGAAACTCACCGGGCAAATCTACGACCCCACCGCCATCAAATCCGCCGAGGTGGAGATCCTCTCCACTTTGAACAACAATCTACCCATCAACAACAACGTGGAGGACTTGAAGACGTTCGTGGCGAAATTCGAAAGGGAATGCCCCATCAAGGTCTCCATCATACCGCTCTGCGTGGAGATCATGGAGATGCTCTATCTGACGCGCAAGGAGTGGTTTTATTCGCTCAAAGAGCTCTACGTGAACACCAAGGAGGCCCTTAGGGTGTTCAATAAGTTGATCAGGAGCCGGTTTTATTTGCCCATTGGTATTTTGATTTACGCCTTCAGGAATACCACTTATTCCAAAACGTTGAGCGTCAATAATATGCTGGAGGATTTCGCGAAAGGTTCGCAAATCCACGTGGATCATTTGAACGCGCTGGTAGCGAAAATCGGGGAAATACTCGATAAATTTTAATCAAACTCTGTATAATTGTTAGTTACGTATTAAAGTATTTATAGTATATGCATAAATTTCTTTGGTGTTAATGGAATTCCCGGCTATTACAGATAAAAGATGAGTTTATCTGGTGGCTCGCCAAAAAGTTATCACTTTGCAGCGATACGAGCAATATGAAGCAGTTTATTTTCATTTTACTCGCCATTTTCCAGTGCACTAAATGCCAAAACGATGGTACTTTATACACATCCTCCGTATTGCGAACCAACAGTTCCAGAATACTCGAATATAACAACAACAGGTACTATTTCTTCACAGAAGTCGCGGTGAGAATAGCAATAATTCATCATACTAATTCCAGCATATAATGTATACTATAATTTCCAGCTCAACTTCTACAGCGCCTTCCAATTCTGCAAACTGCGCAACATGGAGTTGCTGAGCATCGAAAGCGCCGAGGAAAACACCAAAATCGGGCTGCATTTAGTCGAAAAAGGTGACTAACTTCACACCTATAAAAAAATTTCTACAAATAGATTTCTCTTCTTCTTACGATTGCAGGATGGGCGGGGCGGCGTTTCTGGACCTCCGCAGTCAACATGGGGGTGAACAAGAAATGGTTCTGGTTGAGTACCGGGCAGGAATTGAAGTACTTCAATTGGGACAAGGGCGAGCCCACCGGCGAAAGCGTTCCTTTCGTGGCGAATTATGAGAATTGCATACAGGCGAGGCACGAGGGCAACCGGGGATTCACCTGGAACGATTTGAATTGCTTCCAGTGGAACAACGTGATCTGCGAGGCGCCTGTTACTTGCTCCTGCAAGGCTCCCAGGATATCACTACCAGAATTCTGATTTGTTGTATTATTGTTTTATGCTATAATATAAAATGCTGTATACAAGGTGGTCTTGTTGTGTTGTATTCGAGGACGATAAACCGGTAAATTCGAGTCGATTAGCGACGTCAGCGTCGAAAGAAAACAAAAATCGACAATCCCTGAACCTGTCTTGAACTTGATCGACGAAACCTCCTCGAATTTGCATCGGAATTTCCACATTAGCGTGACGTAAAGCGTTCAAGAACATAGCCTATCTAACAGTAAATCTATACACGGAATGTTTGAGTAAAATTTTTGCGCTTGTAGGTAAACAATAATAATCGATTTTTGAGTGGACGAGTGAATAGAAGAATATGAAGGAATTGGTGTTATTCGCGTTGTTATTCGCCGTAGGAATATCGTACAGCGAGGAGAGATCTCAGGAATTCACGTCTGTTGTTTTATCGAATAACAACAAAAATCCCAATTGGTTCAAATTCGGCGAAAAAACTTATTATGTCGATACGGTTTTTACGGTAAGTTGAGGGCACTTATTTTATCTCTAATCATATTACATTATTTCTATTCAATGTAAAAAATTAATTTCCGATAAAACTAAAATTAAAACAATTTGCAGATAAGTGGTTACAAACCTAGATAAGCCAAGACATTGGATTTTCCAATTTATCATGTTTTATAAATATATAATTTAAAATAGGAGATATTTACGAAACACTTTTAAGATACTACAGAAATTTTGTAAACGATACACCCTGTATAAAATTTTTAACATGCCATCTTGCATATGTCAATTCAATGAGTTGAACAAAAAAGAAGATTATTAAAATAAAAATGGGTGGGAGTGAGAAAATCACAATCACACAAATATCACTTCTTATTGTTGTCTTTGTTGCACCCAACTTATCTGTATATCCTATTTCAGGCAAACTGGTACAAAGCCCTGCAGTTTTGCAGACAACAAGGCATGCAATTACTGAGCATCGCCACTAAAACAGAAAACGACAGAATCGGAAAATTCCTCATCGACAACGGTAATAAAATACGCAAAAATAAATTCCGCCCACCTGTCAATATATTCCCTTTACCACGGTCGTATAATAACAGGTCAGGAAACACCTATGTATAAGGGCGCTAATATCGGGTAGTGTTGTTTAATAGTGCGCATATAATGCCAATTTGCCTTCCAAATATCATTTTATTTCATTTACGACAATTCTAATTCAATTTCGATCGAAAGTCGCAAGTCCGCAAACAAGCGGAGTTTCCAGACCTTAAAACAAACACGACCGTGCTCTTTACTTCCGCAAAATTCAGCGTTGCCAACCTGAAATTTTTTTTTTGACATTAACGGCCAACTCGACTTTCCAGGCATATCGTACGGGCATTATTGGACGTCGGCGACCAATCTGGCGGGCGATCACCGCTGGATTTGGCTGTCGACGGGCCAGCCGATGGTCTACACGAACTGGGACTCCGGCGAGCCCAACAGCGCGCACAATTCGACCGAGAATTGCGTCGAAGTGAGACATTGGTCCAGCGGCTTCACCTGGAACGATCTCGGCTGCTCCCAAAACTTGTACTTCATCTGCGAGACCGTCAACGATTGCGTGCAAACTCTCAATGCGCAGAAGAACTGATGCGAAAGAGAATAATAAATCCAAGGAAGAGTTGATTTATTCGGTAATTTAATTTTATGCAATGTTTCATGTACTTACTATAAGTAGTAATAAAAAAACAAAGTGGATTTTTATTGAGTGCGTTATTCGTTGTAAAAACACTTGAGTATGAAACAAATTTCTATTCAAGGTATTGTTTAACATACCTATCTAATCTAATAATTAATAATGCTCCTGGCACTTGTAAAAAAAGTATAAATAAGTTCGCAAATAAGGGTATTGTATTCACAATTAAATCGAATTGTAGAAATCGAACTCAAATATGAAATTCGTAGTAATTTTTTCGCTGATTTTCGCGCTCTGCTACGGCAACACAGGACCGGCTTTCCAAATTTCGGACGGTGTCTGTTACAACGCCACAGCGGGGGATTTGGTATTCGAAGAGCACCATCACAAACTGCCCATTCCATTCGTCAAAAGAGAAGTCACCGTAAGTATTATTATTTTATTTAATGGTAAATTATACGGGGATGATCGTTAGGGAGTTTCCCTAAAAATAGAGATTTGTATTCATTGCTGCCAACTGAAATTCGGTAACTAAATACTCGTTTTTCTACGGTTGTATTAGAAACTTAATAGACAATTTCGGTTATTATTTAGAGCAACTGGGCAGGAGATGGGAAGATTTACTGCGTGTTAGCAACCAGTCCGGAATCCGAATCGATAGGATCGACCGTGGAAATCACCAAAGGCGGCGTTAATCACAGCTTCGTGACGTTGGATATGGTTTCGAAAAAGAGCCACGGTTTCGAGTACTTCATTAAAGTGTACGCGCATTAATGAGTTAAAAATAAAATGAATTGTTGCTGAATTTTCGTTTTTTTAAGTGTTTTACCGATCACAGGAGATAATAAAATAGGTCAAATTCAATTGGATACAATGTTGTGTATTCGGTAGCGGTTCTAGAGCCACAACGTAAACTCGCAATGTCAAGTGTCAATAACTGTCAATTGCCAATAAACCTAACCTCACTTCTTTTTTCATGAGAAAACATTAAAAATAAGTAAATAATGAAATATTTATTAATTACCCTGTGGATAGAAGCCAATAATTTGATATCATGAGTTTATTAATGATACAGGAGAGCTATTTTAAGTTCAGATTACCATAAAAATTCCGACATTTACCCAAATTTCTTCAGTAAGTAGTAACAAACCTTTACCGTTTTACATTCTACCATATTGTAGATCTCGATGAGAGGATAAAGAAAAACCGACTACCTAGCACAAAAACAGATATATTACACAAATCTCAAACATCCTTAAGCACCCTAAACAAATACTCCAGCTCCAAAACGACATCCTCGGGCAGATCGGTGCAATGCACGGCATTCAAATACTTATCCCTGCCGAACTGGGCCCTCAACGTATGCGGCCGAATCTGCCTAGCGATCTCGCTATCCATCGGCCCGCACAACTTCCTAAACTCCTCCTGCGCGTCCACCCCGTCCAATTTACCCCCTATCTCCAGCACCACGCACGGCCCGTTCAAATACCCGTCCTTGAACGCGTGGTAATCGCTCACCACCCCTTTATACACCTCCAGGAACTCGTCGGCGTTGAGGCTCGACAGATACACCACGTGCGCCCCCGTTATCTTAAAATGCGAATCCGTTATGGACTTGACGATGCGCCCGACGTTGCCCTCCTGCACGGCGTGCGGCTTGATCAAGCAACATGTGGTGTTTTCGAAGAGAGCCACGGGCTCTGGAGAGCGCTCGTTTATCGAGAAGAAGAACTCGATCTCGCGGGGGCCGTCTTCGATGGCTTCGGAGCAGTGGAAGCCGTTGGTGGCTTCGTGCGAGTGGCCGTAGAGGGCTCGTAGGGTGTGAGGGGCGCGGAGTTTGGCCTCTTCGGGGTCAGCGGGGCCCAGTAGGTCTTGTAGCTTCTTGACGGCGTCCTCGCGGATTAAAGCTAGGGCTAGTACTGGGCCGGATACTAGGTTTTCGAGTATCGAAGGGAGGATGGGGTCGCCTTTGCGTTTCGCGTAGAATTCCATGGCTTCTTTTCGGGTGATCGAGCATAGTCTGAGTTTGCTGATGGCGAAGCCGTTGCGTTCGATTACTGTGAGAATTTCGCCGATTTTGTCGAGTACCATCGGTTTTAAAATGAGGCAGGTTTTTTCGCGGTATTTGCCGACGTTGTTTTGCGTGCGACAGTCCAAGTAGTCCGTGATTTTGATCTGTCGACCGTACACTCTGATTGTGTTGCCTACGAACATGTCTTCGGTGGTTATTTCCTCCATTTTGGTGCGCTTCAGGAACATCCTTCCCAAGTCTTTGTCGTAGAGTTCGAGAGTGTTATCGGACGGGTAGAATTTGATTATGAAGTGTTTCAAATAGGAGCATTTGTGATCGAACCATTCGCCCAAGAAGTTCAGTCTGTCGGTGTAATCGAACTTTCGATCCGCCATTATGCTGGAATTAATTGAAATTATTGTTCGATTTACACCGTTACAAAATTTAAACTTACCTATTTAAAGCATTTACTAACAAGTAATGTATTCGATATGTTTCACTTTACTTCAAACTGGTTTTTTATGTGGTTAAAAATTAAAAACATTGTAGAATTGTCGGTACAATTTGAAAATTTGTTTGTTTACATTTGTGAGGTTACTAAGCAACCAATTGTCAATGTCAATTTTTATAGATATATAAAAAAGAAGTTAGCTGTATACAACAATAATCTAAGTTCAAATTACTCGCAAAAAAAAAAGAAGTAACCACAAAGTTTGCAACTGTTAACTGTCATATTTCAGTAAATAAATCGGTTTTATTTAGTGTTTCTAATAAATTTTATTAATAAATAAGTATTATGGCAGGGAACTTTTGGCAAAGCTCGCACTAGTAAGTACAACATTTGAAACAACTTTTAAATAAATTGTAAATATTAAATTTTTTAGTCAACAATGGTTATTAGATAAACAAGATCTGATCAGGGAGAGACAACACGATCTAGCGATTTTGCCCGAAGACGAATACCAAAAAATTTTCATATTTTTTTCTAGCGGTAAGTAAAAAATGTATTTATTCAATTACGTTTATGCACCTAAAGAACTCTTCTTGTTTTAGTAATTCAAACTTTAGGCGAACAACTCAAGTTAAGACAACAAGTCATAGCCACAGCGACCGTATATTTCAAAAGATTCTACGCCCGAAACTCCCTAAAATGCATCGATCCCCTTCTACTAGCCCCCACGTGCATTTTCCTGGCCTCGAAAGTCGAGGAATTCGGCGTAATATCGAACACAAGACTCATCACTACCTGCCAAACTGTCAGTAAGTACTCTTCCACTCCACTTATCAACCACCCCTATTAATCCAATTCGATCAAATTACAGTCAAGAACAAATTCGGATACGCCTACACGCAGGAATTCCCCTATCGCACCAACCACATCCTCGAATGCGAATTCTACCTGCTCGAAAACCTGGACTGTTGCCTCATCGTGTACCAGCCCTACAGACCTCTATTGCAGCTCGTCCAAGACATGGGCCACGAAGAGCAATTGCTCACGCTGGCTTGGAGGATAGTGAACGATTCTCTTCGCACCGATCTCTCTCTGCTCTATCCCCCCTATCAGATCGCCATCGGGTGTCTGCAGATCGCCTGCGTGATCCTGCAGAAGGACCAGAAAGGCTGGTTCGCCGAGCTGAACGTCGACATCGAGAAGATCCAGGAGATTGCGAGGTACATCATCAATTTGTTCGAATTGTGGAAGACGTACGATGAGAAAAAGGAGATACAGGGTCTGTTGGCGAAGATGCCCAAGCCGAAACCGGCGCCCCAACGATAATGTACGATTTGTTTTTATACAAAGGTAAGGTCTAAATGGTTCTGAATGATTCAGGCCGAGAACTTTTCATCCTACCCTCGTAATTGTCTCGCTGTGAGTAAGGTTTTTTTGTATTGTTGTTGGAAGGTTTTTAAATGTACGTTTATTTATAATTACGAATAGAAACGTCGTCGCGAGGTATAGTAATTTATATTTTAAATAAAACTTAAATTTCTAGTAAAATTTCTTTAAAATTAGTTATTTTAAATTATGTTTTTTTCTTAGATGGGAGTAAATTGTGCCTTCGCATGTTGTTCAAAACGCCATCTAGGGAAGTGGTTTTCTTTTTAGCGCTGCCTTTGAGCGTTTCTTCGCCTTTATTGCGAATTTTCAATTTGGGCGAAGTGACTTCGTCCATGAAATCGAAGTCCGTTGGTTCGTCCGGCCTGCAAACGAATTCCAATAGAACTTGTAAACATTCGATAATTCGATTCGAAATACCCTTTAGATTCGCCCTCGTCGTCCGGATCTTCAGTTACTTCCGGAGAGGGCGACCGATAGCCGGGGCATTTCCAATGCAATTCCTGCGTTCCGCCATTTTCTAACATCGTATACAAACGATCTATTTCTTCGGGTCTGGGCTCCCACGGTTGTTTGGAATCTTTCAGTTCTTCGTCCGAGCATTCTATCTCCAAATCTTCCTCCATATCACCTGGATTTACTATTATTTACGATAATAAATAAACAACTAAAACTAACCTCATTCTTCTTTTTTTTGTAATACATTCTTAATCCATCTACTAAGGCTGGCTGAACGCTAAACTGGCCAAAGACAACCTAATGATAAGTCAATTGTCATTACTGCCACAAATGTCATATGTCAAATATTTATAAAGTGGGTTATTTTTGTTTTATTTTAGTTTAAAAAGTATTTATTGTAGATTTTAAAAATGTCCCAAGACGATTTACGTGCGAATAAGAGATGTACGGGAACAGTGCCGAAACAACGCATCAGATACACCCAATCCGCGACAGAAGTAGATAGATTGAGAAGTTTATCGAATAGCGTAAGTAGGCTGTTGCTTGCGCCTACTTGGTCTTTTTTTGCTTAATTTTCGTACCGTTTTAATTCCAATTTCAGTCCGCCGATTATTACCACGACTGCACCAACGAGCTCCGAAGCGCCAGAAGGAGCAACCAGGCCCTCGATTCGACGTTTCAACAACAAAGGATCTCGCCCGTTCAATCCGGTTCGGTGAACTTCAATTCGATTAGTAAGCGCATCGTTTCGAGTACTCTAGATGTGTTAATAGTTTTTTTTGTAGGTTCTTCGAACGCCAGTACGGCGAATTCGAGAAAGAACTCGTTGAGTTCGTCCCTGAAATGCGACAACATCACGAAGAAGCCCAACAAGCGGCAAATAGACGATAAATTGAATCAGATTCGAGAGTATTTGAAAATAACGAATTCGTTGATGGCGAGCATCAAGAAGGTTCACAATCAGGTAGTTAATTAATACGCATGTCATAAGTGTATTGTATTATTGTTCGTTTTAAGGTTGTAGATCAAAACGATGATTTTTGTACGGAGAGAAACGAAGGTAACTTCAATCTAGACTGTTTAGAATTCAACGGGCTTTCCCCGAAAGATAACGAACCGATGTTTCAAAGGAAATCCGAGAATAAACGTTTATCACCCAGACAAAACCAGAGCAATCTTCTTTTCGATGGTACACGTTCGTTTAACCTCTTTAATACACAATATTAATCTCTAAATCATTCAGGTTGTAATCACAAAAACAGCACTTTACACAGAAGCAACCGCAGCGACATCTACCACGGATGCGCTTTCGTGGATAAAAACCGGAAGGTTCAATCTCATCCTCAATTAATTCCAACACAAGATGTGCCGATTACCAACGGGGACAATCCCAACACCGAATTGGACTCGTCCGATTACAGCGACAAAGAAATGGAAATCAAGCACATCGAACTGCACAAACACATCACGGAATTGCAAAACAAGAAATTCCAAATCGACCAGTTCCTAACGCAATTGCAGAACTCTCCAACGAACGGAGAGGATGTTGGTAAATCCACCGAATAAAAAACGAGTTATATACATGTTAAAAAATTCTAATTGCAGAGCGCGACATGATGAGAATATCCGCCATGAAGGCGCAGCTGAAGAAGCTGAGAAACATGCTGGAATTCGTCAAGACTCCGCTCGGTAATCCGGCCGAATTGGGCTGTCAATTGTGTTCCTCGCACGATGCCAACACGAGCAATCTATTCGTTAACGCTAGTAACTCCATCGATGGCAGATCGAAGCAGTTCAATAAAAATCCCTTGGACAAAACCAAACAGAATACTCCGAGCAACGCGCAAAAGACGATCCTCGAATTGGAATCGAAAAAGAGAGAGTTGGTGGAAATCATGGGAAAACACAGAGGTGGATTCTGCTTTATTTCCTCCGGTATAGTTTTTTAATTGATTAAATATTTCCAGTACATTCATCGAATCTCAACCAAGACCTCGGCATCGATACCAAATCCGATATAAGTTTCATAACGAACGGAACCCACGATCCTTGGATGGCTGTCGTATCGAACGAAAGCGACTCACAGGACTTCTCCAGGCACGCATTTCTAATTTATTTACCCGAATGTCCGATTAATTTCAACGTTTTTTTAGCGATGAATATCAAAACGAAGACGTGAAGCACAATTTTCTCTCCCTGCCTACGCTCAACGCGGAGAATTTCGAATACGGCTCGGCGAACCGAAGGGCTGGAACCCCTTCGAGCAGAGGCCGATCCGGCCCGCGCAACAACCGACAACCGCAGGTTTCCAATCTACAGAACTCCCACACGAATCAGGTGAATTTGTGGAGAAAATCGGATCCTTCTAGACATTAAAGGTGGGATTTTCCAGATGCAAGAACAGTTAGAGATCATCCGGAGCATATGCGATTCGATGCTGCAACACCAAGACAATTCTACGAACGCTCAGGAAAACGCGCCGAATAGCTTCGAACATCAGAGACCATTCGTGCAATCGAATTCGAACAATAACCCGAACCAATCGGGTTATTACAATTGGCTGTCTACCAGTAACATGCAAACGCAATCGTTCATGTTGAACACCCTGAATCAGTGCTACCAAATGCTTTGGATGCAACAAAAAGAAATGACCCTGTTAAAGAACGTGGTGTTCGAGGTACGTGGCGACACCACGCATCGCGACGTTGTCAAACGTATGCATTTTTTTTTCAGCTGGAAGAGAAGTTAAAATCGGCGAATTTCGAGGCTCAAACGTCGCCGAATTGCCCGATTCGACAACAACAACAGCGACAACAACAAGAACACGATTCGGTTTCGTACGATATGTACGACAACGGCCATTTGCTGGACTCGTGCTTGAACAACATCAATCGGAACGCGGATCACGTGAACCATTTGCTGCCCAATCACATTTGGAACGGTCAGGCGTTGAACAATCAAGTGGTGCCCGGCAACAGGGCGAACAATTATTGGGACAATTTCAGGAGGTCGGTGGCCTGGACTTTGCCAGTCGTGCAGCCACACTGTAAATTCTCGTATGAATTGTTTTAGTTATTCTCGTCAAAATCTTCTGTCGAAGAACAGCGATGTTCCGAGCGTGGTGGACGGAACGAATTTCATCAATCAGTGCGCGAATCCTTTCACGTTTTTGTCGTTTTCCAAGAGGAATTCGGATACAAACGACAACACCGCTCAACGGACGCCTTTTAATGATACCAAGTAATTATTCGTGCTATTCATTTAGTATGTATTTAAAGTATTTACTATTTTTAGATCGAGCGGTAAAAATAACGAAGAAACTAAATCGCCATCGAAAGAGAACAAATCGCAGCAATTCGATGTCCCCGTTGTGCACAATACGAGACCTAACTACGAAGAATTACCCATAGAAAAGCCCGAGCCCGAAACTACTGAAGAAGGCAATCGCGATCCGATATTAAAGCGAGTAAAATTTATTTGAAATTTATCTAAAATTACTCTCGTGATATTTACAGTTGCACGTTTGACAATCTGAAAGAGAACATATACAAAGAAGTGGCCTCGGTTATTTCGGCAAACGAAAACAGACCGGAGTTTTTGATCAAACTATTTAGGGATCTTCAATTCGTTAAATCGGATAATGCGAGGAAAAATGTGTTGCATTCGATCGAAAGGAATATTTGCGACAATCAAACTATTCGCGTTAGCTCGAGGGCTCAGGTATAATTTATTTATTCGATTTAGTATGTGGCTGTATGTTTATATATTTTTAGGAGTATGTAGCTTTCAACGATTTCATACAGGATACTCAACGATTCTTAAACAGCTACAAGGAGCACGTGATTCAGGAGGATTTCTTCTTCGCTTTAAAAGACTTTTTGTTGAATTTGGAATCCTTCAAGTTGATCTACAAGGATAAATCGAGCCGAGTCAACTTGGTTAATATATTAGATAACGAATTCGATAATTTTATTGGTAAAAGGCGAGTACGGTATACGTTAAATGTTCGCTTTCGATAATAAAATCATCTTTTTAGTTTGAGCGAAATCAAATCGCAGTTGTTGCAAAAAATGCTCGATTTGGTGTTTGGGCAGCATGCGATGGTCGATTCCAATGAAGTCGTTTCGACCACTACGAATTCTAATGAAGTATAAAAATAGATAAAAAATGTACAGGAATTCTCACTATAATTGATTTATTTCGTATTTAATAGATCCCGACTAACGGAGATTTAGCGGAAGCCGATCAAAGTGGTACAATGAACGATGAAGAAGGAGCTGTCGGTGGTGTCGTAGAAATTAACGAAATGAGACAAATCAATGCGAATCCGGTAAATATTTAATAACAATACAGTATCAATATTGTTACGCAGTCAATTATTTTGTAGATGTTTGATCCGATACTGGAATTTACCAACCATGAAATGAGGGAACCTTTGAATCAAGGTAACTTAATTTAGAAAAAAATACATACCTAAAGCTTTAAATTTTCTAGATATGTTCGAATTTTCCGATGAAACCGAATTGCCAGGCGTCCCAAATAACATACTGTAACTCGTAATAAAGGTGATTAAAATGTCTTCTCCTTTAATGTTTTTGTTCAAACACGTTCGTTTTATTTAATACCACAATTATTTACATTTTCGTGAACGTATTACAACATCTTTTAAATCTTACACCAATAATAATAATAATCCACACAAATTATTGTTCTTTTACTTTTTCAGCTTCAGAATAGGCCCTGTAAATGTACATTCCAACAGCTACGTGTAACACAACAACGGAGAATATAGCCGAACAGATATTCGACGTGAGTAGACTGACATTAAATATACCTAAAAATTAAATAAAATTTATGAGTAAATATCAAAAATTGGGGCAACATTAATCAAATTTACCTTCGAATAATATCAGTTTTGTAACGAAAAAAGTTACAATCGGTGAAACCAGTATAAATACACTATACACTAATATCGTTTTAAAAATCGATAATGGTGAAGGATCCATGATTTTATTTTGTTTTTCGGATTTATTCATGAAATATTATTTTGAAAAACAGACTTGGGCGGTTGTAACCTAAAAAACCAAACATCATTGATCACGTGACACGTGACATATGACGTCTACTTTTAATTTATATGGCCTCTTAATTGAAGGCATTCAGCAAAGATAAATTTTTTGTTTCACTGAATTATTGATCGGGTGCACGTTTATTTTCTCTCAAGTTTTTTTGTGAGAAACGAATACTTCCTTCGAAAAACTAATTATCTTACCTCTCGCATATTTTCACCGACTTTAAATAATTATAGGAGTACGCAAATAGAAGGACGGGTTTTTAAGGATGAGACTTACAGTTCAAAAACACATCATTTATAATTAATTTACTTAATTTAGCTTTAAATTATAACCTATTTACATAATTTCAAAAAATGAATTGACTGTTCATTTTAAGTAATACTGCGACTAGATTTTCAAATTTTTGTTACAGAACGTTCCTCGCCTTAACTATTAATGTCTCGAATTGTATTTACTTATCTTTTAAAGGGACGTTCTGTATCAAAAAATCGATTTAATTACACTGCTCGTCAAAATATAGGGATCTGTTTGGTTTCGGGAAGCATTGTAAAATCGGCAACAACAAATGTTTCATTTTTAAAGTTAAAAAGTTTCACAATTTCTGTTGCTCAATTCAACATTTCTCGTGTCTCCTAGCTTTGTGGTTATTGCCAATTTTATGGCGCTCCAAAACTCGCTTATTTTGACATACAGTGTAATTGGATTTGGCATACAATTGAATATACTTTAATAATATAATACTTGAAATAATTTAAATATATATAGTCGTTATATATACACATAGCATCGGAAAATACATACATTTACCTAAATATTATTTGTGTGTTTCTTGTTTTTACTTGGTTTTTTTATTTTGGTATGTACGCATGTATATATTATGTATTTTTGAACGTGTAAGCTTTGTTTTTATGCTGGTTTTTAGGTGTGTTTTGTCTCCCTCTGTGATCAAATTCGTTTAGATATTTTATATACATTGAAGCTTAAAATAACATTAAATTTCTTTTTTTCTTTTTTGTATCAGGTAACTTTAACTAACGACAGTTACAATTCTTATTAACAAATAACATAAAACATCCTATTATACAGAGATTCTACAAATTTACAATTATAATGCAATCTACATGATTTATTGAAATTAATGTACACTTGAGTATGAAACGATCAAGGTTACAATTACTTTCTGTTCAAAAATTAATAATTAATTAGATTACAATGAAATAATTAGTGACATACATAAATCATGTGGATTGATTGTAAGACGATTTTTATTAAATTTTTCAATTTAAATTTAAGATAAAAATCGTCAATATATGTTATTGAATAAGGAATATTAAAATTAAGTTGGTGTTTCATTTTGATTATTCAATAAGTACAAGCAGTGCAAATATTATTGGCATATTCATATTAATATATACAAATAACAAAATGAAAGTTTAAATTAAAAAAAAAAACAACGAGAAGATTATAGTTGGAAGAATAAGGAGAATAATATTTTTCAGTCTTCAACAATATCAATAATTTTTATACTTAAAAAATATATTGAAATATACGATGTGGGCATTCGAAATAAAAAAGTCGAGAGTTAGTAGAAAATATATCGGCTCGTTTTTCGTATAAAATTAATTTGTTTCAGCGTTTTCTGTAAAAATAACCGCTTTAAAAATCCATCTATTTTTGAAGAATCTTCCCGAATTGTTCCCAAACAATTTCAAAACCCATTTGGTCTTGGTAAAGTTTCAATTTAATCAAACAAAAAAAATTATTAAATTTGCTTAATTTTTAACGCAAAACGCTCGTTAAATCTAAACAAATGTAATAATAATAATATTTTTCCAATTACAAATAAAAAGAAATAAAAAAAAATCAAAACAGTCTTAATTGTTAGCAGGAAGTTATCACAGCACAGAGAGAAACAAGTAAGGTAAAGAGAGTAAGGTAAGAGAGTATTCGTGTTTTATATTTTTTTTTCCTTTGGATTGTGATAGACAAAAATTAGACTACCACGGCTAGAGGCACAGATAATTGACTCAACTAATATATTCATTTTTTTTTTGTTACGACATATATTAATAAATAGAGAATGCAAAAATCGCACGAACAACTACGAAATGTTTTTCAACACACAGGAATAAGAACGATATAATTCGCTAAAATACATCTCAATTTTATAAGCTTCTCGATATGGATAAGAGCCCCATATTTATCATCAATAATAACATCGGGGAGTTTAGTATTCGATATGCTTGTAACAGGAGTCGTGCATTTTCCACAACTACAATACCGTTATGTAGATATGTAGATGTTACTTATTATTTTGAGATATCGATATGTTTGTAAATTTCAATTATTTTCGGATTTATTTTCGTTGGGAAATGCACAAAGCTCGCGTGTCACGGAAAATGCTCGATTTCCAAACCGAGATTTCGTTCTAATCTAAGACACAACTATTGAAATAGCATGATATGTATCTCTATAAAATACGCGAGAATTCAAAATTTGGCTAACGTTTCCGGGGCGAAATTATAAATTTAATATCCATTCTCTAACATGTTAATACTAATTTCTAAATCGACTGAATAGAGTAACAGGATGGATTGCAATTATTTTGAATCGTTCACATTCCGAAGAAGAAGAAGAAGAAGAAAAAAATCTACAACATTTTCGATTGGTCCAAACAACACGGTCGATTGAAAATAATTGCAGGTAAAATAATAACAATAACTTAACGTTTTACAGGTATACACGTATAATACTATGTTACTTCGAACTAACTAGTTGCCTTTTCGAGTTCAACTCGATCAACTCGGATATTGGATAAGTAAATGTTTGAGGACATTTCGATTGAAAAATACTGCGTTTTTTTTAGGCCATTTCGCTAAAAAAATCGTTTTGATTATTACAACATTTACATTCGAATCGACAATATCAACATCACTCCGGCATTTTGGCACAATAAAAAATCCAACAAGGCATCAAACATTTCTTAAAAAATATCTACATAAATCCACTACATCGAATTTTCTACAGTGACTTACAATAACAGACAACTAACCGATTCTCTCCAAACAAAAAAAATAATAATATAAAATAAAAATTGCACATTTGACGAGTTTTAAACTCAAATTTGATATGTTAAATGTTGGCTTAAAGCGACTTGTTAATATTTCGTAATATCGGCAACAGAGATCAGTACAGTCTTTCATATTCAATCGTTTCGTTTATTTATTTATTATTGATCCAACAGAGTAGCGTCGGCTTTAAGTCAATTCAAAAATAATATCTACAAGAGTCGAGAAATCGTGAAACAATTTTTATCGTTTAATACTGCGAGTACTTTCAGTATAAATTCAAAATTCCTCGACTTTGCGTTTTGATTCTCTCGCACATAAAATCACAATTCGTATTGCAAGTCACTTCGCGTGATGAACCCCCATCCGTAGGCGTATTGTATATTAAATATAGGAAGACATTTAACTAAAGTTACAATATTAATTTGTATCTCGTTTAATATGTTTGTTTTTTTATCTGGAATTCTACGACAGGACGAAATATTAATGCACGTAAAGCGACTAGAGTTCATTTAAATATTGCAAGCTTCGCAATTAATTTATAGTATGAAAAAAAATTCACGGGAATAATCAGACGTTGTATCATTTTTTTTTTAAATAAATATCACAGCACTAAAATTTAATATGAACAAAAAAAATAGTCGTTAGCTGATTTGTATTCGTAAATTAACAAAAAAAAAATCAATTGATCTGACATTCTGATTATTCGCATCAATTTAATTTTTAGACAGTTATTTATTAAACCGAAATAAAAATAGACTGTCGATATGTACCTAACATATGTATTGAAATTGTTGATATATATTTTTTGTTTCATATAAAATATTGACTTCAAAAATCGCTCGTTATAAGCTTCATTTTTTTTGTTAATATTAACAAATTAAATTGGAAAATTAAATAAAAAATCATATATAACAATAAAAAATTGCTTTTAAAAAATCGTTGCGAGTAATTTATCCGATTACGATATGTGCGAATTATTATTACAAAACGATTTAATAAAAAATACCTTAAAGTTACGAATGAACGAAACAAAAAAAAAATATTAAATTATTCGTCATGCCTCGCAAATATAAAATAGTTCAAGTTTGGTCAATAAAGATTTTTTCCATCGCGAAAAAACATTTTTAACAAACAAAACGCATCATCAAATTCACCATTAAGTACTAAATGTAACATTAATAACTTCTTTTTTTTTAACAAATATGGAAAGGATATGTACGTTACTAAAAAAAAAACGAAAATAATGAAATTATTCGTGTTTCTCCGCCTGCTCCGAATTTTCCCCGTTCTTTATGGACATGTTTCGCGACGACGAGAAGCACAATTTCATTATAAAAGGAAACTTCATACCTGCAATAATTCAAATCACAACGAATTTCTTGAAATGAAAATAGGGATAATTACCTGGACTTTCGATAGCGGCGTGATTACAAGCCATCACCGCCGCGACGGCCTCCGTCGTATTTTCGAATTCCAACAGTCCAGAACTGGACCGTTCCGATTTCATCGGGAACAATTTCACCGCCTTCGGAGGCACCACGTCGTAGTCTTTGAACACTTGGAACAGCTCCTCTTCGGTCACTTGCGGCGGCGTATTGAAGAAATGCAATATCTACATAAACGAAAACGATGCAATAATTTTGTCAAAATGACATTAATGACATTTCGAATGACAGATGTTTAATAGAGGTGGGAATCGATTTTTTCGTATAGAGGTGCAGTAACGACCGTTACAAAATAACCGTTATTTTTTCACATATTACTCCAAACACTATACCACTTACCTTGCTCGGCGGTTGTATCCTATTTTTGCTCGCCATGGCGGGATTCATGAAGCGGTTGTTCTTGTTGTTGATGTACAACTTGTACGAGGGCGATTTGTCGGGCAACGGGTACGGATTCGTCACCTCGCTCAAATAGGGCTGTTTGCTGAAGGCCAATTGCAATTTGTGCTCCCTCGGCGGCGCCGCGACGCCACCGTCCTCTTCCTGTTTAGGCTCGCCGGTGCTCGAACGGTGCGTCAGCGGCACGGCGCCCGTCACGCCCACCGTCACGTTGTTCAAATTTTGCACGCATCGCTCGACGGCCACGCTGTCGCCCATTTGCACCATCGCCGTGCCCTCCTTCGATTTCAGGAATTTTATCTGTACACATACACACACAAAATACTATATTAATGCTTCCATTTTAACTCTACAGCTATAATCTTATTGGTTAGATTCGTGCAACCTTTAAAATGATCTAGTCTTCTTCGGTTGCTTCGACAGTGTCAACAGTTCTATGTTGATTAGTTGTTGTTGTCATGGTAACGATCTGTCATAGTAACGATACAAGATACATCTTGCTGAATAACCTAACAATAAGTAGCTGAGGTCTTAAGACGACAAAGAAGAAGAAGAAGAATTTGATTAGTCATGAAAATTCCATTCCACCTCCCTCTACTGTTCTGCTTCCCTCTACTCTGCTCCACTCGGTTTCTCTATAATCTACTCCAACTCTGCTCCTCTTTAAGCTACTCCACTCTGCTCCGCTTCCCTCTAATCTACTCCAACTCTGCTCCCCTTTAAAATACTCCACTCTGCTCCGCTCGGTTTCTCTCTAATCTACTCCAACTCTGCTCCTCTTTAAGCTACTCCACTCTGCTCTGCACTTGCTACAAACTACACTGCTTCACTCTAATCTACTCCACTCTGCTCCGCCCGGTTTCTCGATAATCTACTCCAATTCTGCTCCTCTTTAAGCTACTCCACTCTGCTCTGCACTTGCTACAAACTACACTGCTTCACTCTAATCTACTCCACTCTGCTCCGCCCGGTTTCTCTATAATCTACTCCAATTCTGCTCCTCTTTAAGCTACTCCACTCTGCTCTGCACTTGCTCCAAACTACGCTACTTCACTCCGCTTCTCTCTAATCTACTCCAACTCTGCTCCGCCCGGTTTCTCGATAATCTACTCCAACTCTGCTCCTCTTTAAGCTACTCCACTCTGCTCCGCTTCCCTCTAATCTACTCCAACTCTGCTCCCCTTTAAAATACTCCACTCTGCTCCGCTCGGTTTCTCTCTAATCTACTCCAACTCTGCTCCTCTTTAAGCTACTCCACTCTGCTCTGCACTTACTCCAAACTACGCTACTTCACTCCGCTTCTCTCTAATCTACTCCAACTCTACTCCACTTTACATCATATCCGCTTTCCTCTGATCTACTACTCCACTCTACTCGAAGCGGATGTTACACGAAGGGGGGTGTTTGAAGAAGAAGATAGAAGTGAAGTGTAAATACTGACCCTGGCGACGTTGCCGTAGAGGCACATCAAATTGAATAGCTTGTCGGCGTTGGTGCGCAACGGATCGAGACCGTAGACCATGAGGACGGCGCCGGGTTGTTGGAATTGGGCGGTGCGCTGATCGGCGCCGGTGACGGCGGCCGTCGTGGCGCCCTTGCGAAAGGCGTCGGTGGGAAAGGTGTCGCCGTAGCCGGGACATATCTCGTCGAAGGGGCGCGCCTGTTCGCCCGAAAACGGATCTGAAACAAAGCGTTTACATTGAAGTTAAAGGTAGAAGGAAAAGGTAAGAGAAAAAGGTCTTAAAATCTTAAAACCAATTGCTTTAAAGCGACAGCAGGGTCCTCGAAACAAAACCTTTCTTCCAGCTCCTCTCGAGTCTCGAAGTTGACTGGTAATAGCAAGCAATGTTGCCAGCTTTACAAAGCACTCTCAAAGCGCCTCGGCCATCGAAATAGACGGTTAAACAACGAACTATTTATTAGCGTGGGCGATTTTGGAGAACGGAATAGTACCCATAGAGCAAAAAATTGCTGCTTGAAATTTTATATATTGCTTTTTGTATGTACGCAGCATAAATCCCTTAAGCTTTATTAATCCCCATCGCGGAGCGAGTGAAATGTAATGTATGTACATATGCACTAATGCATAACAGAAGCGCTATTTTACCAGATAATTCTTTTGGAAAATGGCCGTGCATCAACATCGCCCGGGCGCTAATTTATTAAAAAGCCAGACCGAGTGCCCGGAAAAGCGAGAAAACCCCTTATCGAATATTTCCACGGGCGCGCGCGGTGATTTTCGCGTTAATTACCATTGCTGGGCTAATGTTTAATTCGGAGGGAAAATGGAGGAAAATTCGAATCCCGCGAATCGTTTCGTATAATAAGTAGGACAGAAAAAGGGATTGATTGTATTAATATACAGAGAGGAATCGTCGGGAATGGGCGAGGAAAGTCGTATGGAATGTTTCCCGGGTTTTTTTATCGGTTTTATTGGCATCCAAAAAGGATTTTTCGTATCGAATAATGGGGCTCTGGCGGGTGCTTTAGCGCTGTATTTATTCGAACCGCACATATCCCGGGATTTTTATAGTTTGTTTTTTAATTCACCGTTTGAACGGCTTTAATACATTTCCGACAGTATTTTATTTGGTATTAGATAAGTTTTAAAATTCGCTAATCCTCTTAAAAAAAAGTTCACAGTCGCTAACTTTGGAATCCTCTTAAACACAATTTAGTAAAGCAACGTTTATACTATTAGCATTTAATGCAAGAATCTATTTAAATAAATTTACACACAACAAATTTTTCTTGTATAACACACTAATTCACCGACTCGAACACGAAACCGACAAAGCCACTAACGACATTTTCTGTTACGAATTAAATTAATCACGTCGACGTTCGTTCTCTGTATCTCTTTCAGCGCCATTTAATATGTTTTATTGTCTACGCGACGCGCGTGCTACAACCAACCGAAAAATAGCCAAACATTTTCGATAATTTATATATGTATATCAGACGCGAGCATCAAAAATGTATTCGTATTAATCGTTTTCAATCGCATAGAAATTCGAATATGTAGAAAAACCGGAGCGTAATTGTCGAGATGAACGAGCGCCAAAATATTGAATGAATCACGAGGTTGAAAATTTCATGTAAATTAGAATCATTTATTCGAATTGAAATAGAGCGATGCTCACCTGTCGCTACTTACTCACTGCAGCCGCTTATTTTTCGCTATAACTATAAATACAAGAAAACGTTCGATTGCCGTTCGATTATAAACCGTTTAAATATTCTACCCGATTTTCCGATAATTTCCATCGAACAATGCAGTGGATTAGAACACTCTCATTTAAATTCGATAGATTATCTCCATTATCAGCGTGCATTTTCCCAAATTGTCCAATTCCCTCCCCTTTTAGTAGTTAAACGGGATTTAACTGTGCATACATTTTAATGGAATAAAACGTTTTATGTCGATATAATGGAATTTACTCTTTAAAAATCCCCCATCATAAAAAAAAGTCCTTCGCTAACGCAGTTATACAGCCAATTAACAACAAATCCGGAGCCAACTTCGATTCGTTATAACTCCCTTTAGCTCATTAATTCCGTACATACGAGGGTTGTTCGATACAAAAAATTATATCTACTACTAATTACAATTATTGTTCGAAAACACCCAGTCGGATTAATCCGCTTTGAAGACACGAATATCATATATACCCGAGAGCCAATTAGCCCTCTATTTAAATTTAGAATCGAGAAAAACGGTTTTTCGTCGCGCGAAAACTACACCGCGATAATTATTAATAAGAACCATCCCGGTCATATTTATGTACGAGTGCTGTCGCTATAAATTAACCGTTCGAGATTCGCACAAACTCCAGCCAAAATCCAGCCATATGGTAGAATAGAGTAGAGGAAATTTTATTTTTTTTTTGATCGGGGAATTACCCGATGCAAAATTTGATGCACGACGAACGTTGTTTTCGCGGATTAATCGAGTAGAAAAACAACGAAAATTTCATTTAATAATCATACTTGCACGTTGCTCATTAAATTCCGTAATTATATTTCGAAAGAATCTTCAATAAATAACGAGCAAAGTCGAGTAAAATGAAGGTAATCAAATTCGTTTATAAAAAGCGAATGTCGTTGTCAATTACACGCTAAAGTTCGATTGGAATTTAAGCCGGTGCAAACGGTGGAAAAATCTAGAATCGTAGAGCAATTTGAATTTGCGTGTTAACAAGCTCTTTTGATTCGAATTTTCTTTATGTCTGGTATAATCGGTTTAAATCGATATATACATACGCGCTAAATATCAACCCCCATATTTAGTACTAAAAGCGTATTTCGATTAAAATTATCGGAATTTCCACTCGAACAATTCGCCATTCGATCTAATGCATGATACTTAATTGCATCGGAAAGCGATTCGCGTTTTAAAATAAAACTGATCAGTTTATTTTTCCATTTCCAATAAAATAAATACCTAGGCTCGCTTAGCAGCAACGCTACAACGTCCGGAATTATTATATAAAATAAAATTCAATTAAAAAATCCTTACGAGTTTGGAATTATCGGATTATTTTACTCGTACTTTTTTTGCATTTATATTTTCCGTTTCCGTTACGCGATGAGTGTATTTTGTATACATTTCGTGACATGAATAGGTAAAGGTGAGGAAAAAAATCCAACAGAGTGGATTTATTTTAAAACAAAATTCGTTTCGTCTTCGTTGTCGCCTTTTATTATTGATAGAAAATGGGAAATTCTTCGGACGTCAGAAACGCGAGAAACGCCGCATTTTCTTTTAGTACAAGTCCTTATTTTACTCGACTGTCTGTCGCTAATGTACATTCTTTTGTGTTCGTTTCGTTCTAAGGACTTTCTGATTGATGGCTAGTCGGTTGCGATTCGAAAGAACAAATAAAAAAACACAAATCGAAACCCCTATACATACAACTCTATTTTCCACCGATTGATTTCTCGCAAAAACTTCGAACGTTACAATTAAGGTAGAGTGGGGCAAATCGGTTGAAAAATTTGAATAGTTCAAATTTAATGCTAAAATGTGGCTTTATTTTTTCTCTTATTAGAAATGCTGATACCACATAAAAAAGTTTTTTTTTTTTTTGAAAAAGGAAGAAAACGATTTTACATATTTTTTAAAATGTTGACAATATGTTACATTTACCCCGTATCAAACGGTTCTAAAGAGACAATACAATTATATAGAAAAACATATGGGGCAATTATAAATACATATTTGGTTCCTCTAAAATTTGATATGCTGTTTATTTATTTATTTCAAAAAATAACGGAGCTACAAAATAATAAGGAAAAAATAAGAAACAAACCCTGTCTAATGCACAAAAGAACTATAAAAATAATAAAAACATTAACATAACAGGTAAAAATATTACATTTACCCCATTTTTACATTTGCCCCAGTCTACCTTATTTACTTCTTAAAAATTACTTACCTACATATCTCGATATCTGAAGTAATTATTGCATTATTTATGTTAAAACTATAGATCAATGATTCATCTTGATGGATATTGGAAGTTTAACAATCAATCAAGTAGATGTTAAATATTTTCAATCGATAATGTTTTTTTTTTAATAATTTAATTGGTGTGTTAAAAAATTGCCATCATCCAGCGAAAATTCTATTAGGTAAATTTCCGGTGGTTTTTTTTTACTACTTGTAAACCTGCACTTTGAATACCGAATCTCGAACATTTACGAGCGATATTATGCTAATTAAATGGACATTTTAAATCCACCATTAGCGCAGCGAAGCGCGGAAAATCGGTATAAATATGTTTTTTTTTTCTTGTGCAAAACGAGCGCACTCCGTTCCTCTTAAATCATTTTCGGTGGACTCGGCGCAAGATTAATATTTTGTTCGCTTGCATTAAGCACAACGGAGATGTTGTGTGGTGTATTTTATTTTTTTCATCTTCCCTTTTCCTCTTCTTTTCGCTGCTTCTCGCGCGTTTTGTTTTCACCCGTTTCGCCGGGCTTCGAGTGGGGTTTAATGTTTCGACGAAAAACTCGGAATATTTATTCGTAATTTAAATTTCCGCGAAAAATAAGATGATAAAAAATTATAACCCCGTCTAGCGTTCAACCGGTAATTTTAAGTGCGCTATTTTTCCAGCTCTTTTCGCTATATACGAGTTAATTAAACGCTCGTATGTACAATAAAATTGCGCTTTTTTTTTTTGATTTTTAACACATAATGAGAAATTCGTTCCTTATATAAAGAACGATGTTTGCTTACATAGCAATAATTGCGAAGTGGGCGGTTGTAGAATAAATAGAAAGTCTACTGTAGGTTTTTTTTTGGAAATTTTCGAGATAAAGGAGAAACGATACGAGGAAACTTTCATTTAAAACGTTTCGGATTAAAAAGAAAATTTCATATTCAATATCGCGAGAGCTGCTACACCGAAGAAAGAAAATTAATAAACGTCGCTCTTTTAAAGCGAGCTTTAAGAAATTTGAATAGAAAGTCAGAAAATTTAGGTTTTACATTATAAACCTTTTGTTCGTATTACACAATGAAAAAATTTCCATTCTAATAAACCTACTTTCGATAAATATATAAAAAAAAACCACCTCCGTAGAGATACATCCCGATTTTATACCATCAAGACAAGGGAATTTCTTACACAAGAAATTCATCGATTCTATTCGTGATAGTTCTCTCTCAAATTTTCTATTTTGTTAAATAATAGGTAACGTTATGATCTCTCTAGTGTAATGCAAATTTCGTATCTCATGAAAAACAGTTACAAATTGTTCTAGACAGTTCTAAATGGTTCTCGACAATTCTGATTCGTCGTGAACCAATCTAAATGATTCTGAACAGTTCCAAATAGACCATTTTGTGTGTAATAATTGAAGGTAGAAATATTCATCTTTTTTGTGCTGATTGGAAATATCGATCGTTTTAATAACGATGGAAATTAACAATTAGAGGATGCTCGTAATTAAGGGCTTCTCGGGAAAAAGAGCGCAACTTTCTAAAAAGTCAATTAACTCGGGGAGGAAATAAGAATCGGGAACCCGAAACTTCGTATACAAGAATATCTAACGAACATTAATTTATTGTGCTATAACGCGAAAATTCTAAGTATCGCGAAAATGTTTACCTTGAATTAATTTATTTTTATCGCGCACCTATTTATCGAAAATAGAGAGAGGAACAACGACATAAAAAAAAATTAAAAAAAACATTCATCATTTTTAATGAACGCGAACAATTTTTCGCCATTTCGAATCATGCCAAGATTTCTCACCACTTAAATACATTGTTTTCGCGCGTATATGATCGATCCTTTAAACATTTTACATTTTCGCCTCATCAGCTCCGAAATATTTTAATAAGTTTTCGTCCCTGGGCGCGCATCACACCGAAAATAAAGCTTTCAAACTAATTGGTTTTTTTATTTCTGATGTAGCATTTCGAACATCAAAACCGGCTTGGTATATTGCACAGAGAAAACGCCAATTCCCGCGTGGAAGCAATTACAGATTTGTCAATTAAACGCAGGAATTACCAAGCCAGTCCGCGGCAGGAACTCGTCCTGCAGGACGCGGTTACCCGTTAATCTGTTACCTGTGTCTGACGACTATAGAAATAATTCATCCCTAAAACAATCGAGCTGTTGCTCGAGACACGGGGAATCACCGGGAAATCGTAATTCACCCCTTAATATACCCCCAATTTTCGAAATAAAAAAATCCCATACACCTCGAAATTGTATAGTGAAATTAATAAACAATGTGTATCCATTCTCGAGTATAGTAATCGAACAAATAAAACGAGAAATCTACATTCACATCTGGCTACATCTCTTGTATATCGGAGATTGAAGGAAATCCATTATCCGCATTATACGAAGCATCTATATATCCCTTTAATGCACCCCTATATAGAGCAGGTGTTGTTACACGTAAAACGGTAATGTAATTAATCGATTATCTCGCAAACAGAACCGAACATTTTCGCCCCCGAGTGTATTCCAAAATCGAGTTAATTCGTCCAGAACAACAGAGAAAATTATAAACAAAATAGCATTATTTATATAAACGAAATTTCCAGCTCTTTGACTTCTCTTCAGCGAAGCATCGGAATCCGGCGTGTAATGTAAGTTTTCGCAAAGGGCTCAACGGGAAATTCCCTCGATCTACCCCGGCGTGTACACGCCGACACGTCTCGAGATTAATCTTTAATTCATCCGCGTCCGGGTGTATTTTGTTGTAATTTCCACGGGATAACCGGGCTAATGAGCCATCTGTATTCAAGCCTATATAAGACGTTCCTGTACATATAGCGAACGTTTTAATTACGATAACGCAATTACATTTCGTTATTAAAACTAATAACAAACCCCGAAATTTATGTATAATAGGAAGAAAAAAATCGATCGACGGATTGACCTAATTTCGGGGAAACGTTCCGTGTAAAGTCCTTCGTCGAATTTAAATAGCGTAACGAAAGGCAATTACGAAATTACGGATGTATTTAGTCTTTTTTTTTTATTTATTTTTTTTTTTTCATTATCAGTAATAGACACGAGACGAGGCGAGTTTATTGTAGCGACAAGTTTTCGTGTTCGACGATAATAAATCCGACAGGGCGAAACGGAAAATATCCCAAACAACCCTCCGTTCACAATTAAAAGTTCCCACGTATATACAGAGCGGCCCCGAATCATCTCCAAATACTACTATTATAAACCGAAAAATGTCAATTCTTTATAGGTCATTTAGGAATCCCCCTGTATATTAAAACTAGATGTTTAATTGGAGCTCCCTCTGTAAGATTTTTTTGAAGAATATCAACTCTTTATAGGACATTTAGGAATCCCCCTGTATATTAAAACTAGATGTTTAATTGGAGCTCCCTCTGTAAGATTTTTTTGAAGAATATCAACTCTTTATAGGACATTTAGGAATCCCCCTGTATAACTAAAATTAGATGTTTAATTGGAGCTCCCTCTGTAAGATTTTTTTTTGAAGAATATCAACTCTTTATAGGACATTTAGGAATCCCCCTGTATAACTAAAACTAGATGTTTAATTGGAGCTCCTTCTGTAAGATTTTTTTGAAGAATATCAACTCTTTATAGGACATTTAGGAATCCCCCTGTATCACTAAAACTAGATGTTTAATTGGAGCTCCTTCAGTAAGATTTTTTTTCAAGTTTTGTGTAGTTGTAATCGAGTAGGTAGAGGTACAAATTGAAATTCCCCTTTCGCGCCAAAAAATAAACAAACAAACGGTACTTTTCGGTTAATTGTCCCCTCAGGCCGAGTCCATTTATCAATTTCCGCGAGATAAATTCCTTTCGAAAAAAAAAAAAAGAAAACTCTTTACGCTATATTAATAACGGGACGGGAAATAATTGAACGAATGCCAAAGACGAAATACAATAGAGAAGCGTCCATGTTTTGTGTGTGTTTTTTTTTTCATTCTCCGCGCGTTTTCGCGTTACACTACGTTTAATATTCGAATTAATATTCGCCAGCTTCATTAAGCTTATTGCGCCCATTCTCGCAAATTAACACAGGAGCTAAATCGAGAGTCGAAGAAAACGAAATTTAAATAAAAACAAACTTACTGTAGGGTTGCGGTCGAGATCCGAAGTGGGGTTCTTGTAAAAGCGGTTGCGGCCGTCCGTTATTCGTACTTTCTTTTACTGAAACAAGAAAAAAATAAAATAGTTCAAATTCAGCTTTATTATTATTATTATTAAGCAAACGTCGACTACACTAATGTATCGCTATACAAGATAATCTCGAGCACTAAGACGGGGCCCTTTCGGCGCGAAATTGAACCAACTCCCCCGTCTTTAATCCTTCCCAACAACACTTTCAACGACCATAATCCTTATCTATCCGCGAAACTTCGGTAATTCGCTAGTGCCCTCGGAGATAATCTCTCTCCGCGTCTCGATTTTCCCTATGCGGCGCAATCCAGGAAAAAGCGTTTGGAAAAATCGATTTTCCCGTCGAACGGGAAATTCGCGATGATACCAAGAAGCGCCAAATACAAACAAAAAAAGTGGTAGAAAATATTAAGATGCGCAATATCGGCGTTAAATTAATCGAAAATCGCGCATCTCCAGCTATCCCTGTCGCATTGTAGATGAATTATTAAAAGAAGAATTCGCTCGAAATAAAGAGAGGAAGTTCGGTAATCCTTTCGGGAAGAAGCGCCAAATACAACAAAAAAGTGGTAGAAAAAATAAAGATGCGCAATATCGGCGTTAAATTAATCGAAAACCGCGCATCACCAGCTATCCCTGTCGCATTGTAGATGAATTATTAAAAGAAGAATTCGCTCGAGATAGCGATAGAGAGGAAGTTCGGTAAGGCTTCCGGGCGAGTATTAGGTTGTAACGTGTAATGTTTGATTATAATTCCTTTATTGAATGATTTATGGGTAGTCGGGGGAGTTCGGCGCACGAACGGGGCGGGTCTCCCCGAGCGCCTAGGCAAAAGGGATTTCGTAATCTCTAATCGTTAATAATTTAATATCGCTTTGTTCCCGCGAACGCGCCGCGTAAATAACGTTTTTAGTTTGCGAATTGGTTGTTGCAATTTCCGATTTATCCGCGTAGGTTGAAACCTGCATCAAGCAGCTTCATTAGCATGCCTGGTTTAATAGGTTTTTGTATTCGCAAGGAGTTTAAAATGGTAGTAATTACAGTGGAATCAACAGACTTTGTTTAAGAAAGAAAGATTAATAAACTAACGGTGGGTTGGAGCGAGAAAATTGTACTAATCTGTTATGGAATTGGGTAATCTACATGATTCAAGTCTGGCGATCGAGCGGGTCATTTAAATGGATCATTAGTAGCAATCTCTCTTCGAATTACATTGTTAATAGAATTTCCCTTAGAGAATGAATTTATGAAATGTGGAAGGAATATGTAACATGTTTAAAGAACCCATCAGTGACTGAATATTTTCTGATTTGATTACATTGATTAATCGGGAGTAATTTTAGACGAAAGTATTAAAATTTAGACGGGGATTTAGTGAAACGGGAACTTTGCGAATAAACCGACATAAACGTGTCTAATGATTGCAATTCGTCTCAAACTTAATCAGCGCCGTAATTAATTTTAAACTCGCTCGATTTTGCAACAATTACCCGATCGAGGATCGTAAGAAATAGTTATCTTACACATTCTAAAATTAATCCAATTACTTTTCACTTAATCAACGGAGAAAATCCGTCCGAAAAAAATACATAAATAAGGATCCTAATAATTGCATTTCGCGGCAGAGCCGCTTTTCTTTTTTAATGAAACAATTTCCCGCGTTATCTCCAACCACCGCGCAAGAGTTAATTTCCCCTTTTCCCCGGGAAACGCGTTTCATTTCACTCGCATGCCTAGCTCGATGTAGATCAAAAAGAACTGGAGCAGTGGTAGACCAATTTTCCAATTACTTTTTCCCAGCAATTATTAAAACACTTCGCGATAATAACACTTATAAGAGTTGAAAAAGTAATATGAAATACTCGCGGTAAAAGTGAAGAATTTCGCCAGTACGGCACTGGAGAATTCCGGATGGCCCGGATAATTTATTTAATGTGGAAAATTAAAGGTCTCCAGGAGAAATTATGGCGGTGTGTGTGAGGGAAAACTTACGCGGTATACGCAGTGGCGACTCGTTTAGGGCGGGAAATTCTAGTTTTCTATATAATTCTAAAATCGATCCGTTGATAACGAGTTATGAAATGATGAACTTATTGTTTTCCTATTGGGGCTATTATTAGCTACGATTGCTCGATAAATATTCAGTAGGGAAAATTGGATTTTAATATATTAATAATGCAGTAATAGCGGTTGAATGGATGCTAAAAACTTCCTGTTAAAGTCAAACGAATTGTCAGTAGGTAATAATATTGTAAAATCGAGTTTCTATAAATATAAAACAGTTTGTTTTGTACTTCAAAAACACACAGTTTCCTTCGGGAGAAGGAATATCGCATATATATATTTGTAATTCGTCTCGATTTAAATACACCTGACAAAGGAATTTTCTTTTTCGAATAAATTCGTCTAGATATTATTATATCCCGAGCTTTTCCGACCCCTCAAGAATTACGAGCGAACGGAAAATGTCTGCTGATGTGGAATAATAGCCACTTTTGTCGGTTAAAATTACATTTAACCGCCCTTCTTTCCACGTTTGTCGTTGGAAAAAATCACCATTCATTTATCATACAGAAAAATTTGTATAAAACACAAATTTTCGTATACACAATAATTCTCCATTAATTCATCCGGTATAAATTCTCCAATAACACGAACAGTTCACCCGCATAAGTGCCGATATTAACGCCCTTATACACCTAAAATCCGATTAAAATATCGCGCGGGGGAATTCAATTCCGATCGCGAAGGCGGGGAAATTTTCCCGCAGACGAGCGGATTTCTAAAGAAAATCATTATCGGAAAACCGCTCGATTCAAATCAAATTGCCTATATATTTTTCTCGTAAACGTCGTCAAATCGGGTGATTAATGAGATGGATTTTAAAAAATCAAATACCAACAAATCGATTTTGCCAATTACAAGCGAAAATTGAGAAAAAACTCTCTCCTTAATCCATTTAACACTGTCTGAAACACACTATAGGCCTCAAAGTTTAGCGGGGAAACTTTTAACAAATCGATCAATTACTGCTGGTAAATTTTTTACAGTCATTAATGGAAGGAAAAGTTGCGAAGAATTTTTCTAACTATTTAAATGCGAAAATCGAAAAAGTATACAATAAATGCATATTTCGCTGGGATATATTCGGAAGATGAAGAGTTTCTTTGTCGTGCAACAAGCACATATACTTTCCCGGTAAATCGACTTCAAGATGAGATTCGTTTTTCGCATTATATTGGAAAGCAAATCTCTCTCTAAAAGATATAGGATATGCGATATCTTATTAAGTGCGAAAAATGCGAAATCTTTCCACTTTATTTTCCTCGAAGAGGCCGAAAAGAAATCGAACAATTCTCGCTACTTGTTAATAATGTCGCGAAGACATTTTTTTACAAATGTAACAATCCATCAACGTCGAGATTTCCCAACCGAACTGTTCTAAGTACTTCAGAAACTATACGGGCGAAAATTTTTCTAGGGTCATTTATTTCCATTCGAAGTTTACGATTTTCTTTTCTGGCAGTTACTTTTATCGATATGATGGTAACAGTCGATATCCAATCTAACTTTTCTTTGTACGATTTTTCACGCCCGCTAATTTTCTTATACAAAATTAACTATACAAGAATGGCGATTCGGCGAACGTATAAAGAATAAAAAGAATCACAATTTCGTATTCGCTTTTCAGAAAGTTTCATGTTCAGTGGAAATTGCTCGGATTTTCCTATACCGAAAACTTTTTCAATCGCATTAAACATAGTTTTCGCAGAGTCAATAGAAGCGGAATCTCGCGAGAGCAAAATGAATTCCCATCCTAAAATATTGGAATAATCCAGAGGATTTCGTATCGAAATAATTCGAGACAAACTACTCGTTAAATATTTCGTCGTGCGGAAAACACATCACTTACCGGAAAATCCTCCAACGGCGTCCTAATCGCAACAAACCCGTCCATCTTTAGGAAGAATTAGGGTGTATATTTTTTTTATTGGGATGTCGGGGGTTGGGACAACGCACGTCTATCTCTCTCTACCCTCTTCTGCGGCGACCTGCACACAGACAAAGACAAACACACGTAAGTCTTGGTTGTATTCTTTCGTTTTACTTTTTTTTTTTTTGGTATCTTTTTGTCTATTTTGGTTGGTGGAAGTGCATGATGTTTGTCTGTATGCAGGCGAGAGCGCGCAGTTGAGCGACACTGGATGAGGATAAGATTTTTGTTTTTTGTGTTTTGATGTGGTTTGTATTGGTATTTTGTTATTTAAATAGAAAAGGTTACAGGAGAAATGCAATCGATCAATCCACATCTCTATAAATATTTTTTTTGTCAGCGAAAACTCCCCCAACCGGTTCGATTTTTATATCCCCAACAAAAAGGGACGAGTAACCGAGTTAGCTGATAAAAATTTATGGAACTTACGAATGTAATACGTCTAACTTATCATCCCTTATCGCGACAACGACAAAATGGCCGTGCATTTAACGACACATCGATTTCTCGTTTGCCGAGAGATTCCCTCTACGAAATTAAAACATCTAGTCGATCATTCTAAAAATTTCATTTCCCACGCCATCATTAAAAATAGTTCGGAAGTTTTTTAAAACTTTTATCGGGCTCGGAAACTTTTCCCCCGGCCCTTTACTATTAGCGTTATACGGACAGGTTCGGTTCGAAGCCGATATTTATTCCAATTCGATCGACAATCGAATCCGACCGGAATATAATTAAGTTAACCGGATTGCTAATAATCTAATTTGAATTATTTGCCGGTGAATTTATTAGGTTACAAAACGTTTTGGGGCATATGCTATATACAGGGTGCTGTCTGTGCATTCCCGAAAGGTTAAAGGCCGTCAAAGTAATAGTTTTAGTTCCCGGCCAATTTTCTTCTCGGCTATTTTTCCCTCGATTCTTTGTTATAAGGACGGCGAAAGAGAGTAAAGGAATTGTCCCGGTACTTTCGAGTTAATTAAATACTCCTTTGTAGCGCGATAAGTGTTCTTCTCCATTCGAGATTGCACTTTTT